TGAAATGATTGAACATTAACCATTTCCTTTTGGTACAGTGACTCTGTGTATTCCTTCCATCTTCTCTTAATGCTTTCTGTATCATTCAATAATTTCCCCAGAGAATCTTTCAATAACGAAAGTCGAGGCTTGAATTTTTTTCTTCAGTTCCCCCAGCTTGAGAAATGCTGAGCGTGTTCTTCCTTTTTGGATTTCTGATTCCAAATCTTTACACATTTTATTAACTACCTTTGCACACTAGAAAAGAGAAACATGTACCAGAAAATGTAAACCAGAAAATATATTTAAAATTATATTTGCCACTTTATTTGAATCTGATGTCATATACACTCACAAAAGCCCCATCTGCATGAACTGCACCTCAGTAGGAGACTAGAGGTGTTATGCTAATGTTTAATAATCATCCTGTAGAGTAAGAGGATCTGGTTTACAGCGTTTGTCCATTTCCATGGTGGAAATACATCCACTGTGGCCAATTTAAGTTAACAATCAAGTTTCGTGCCAACATGGAACACCGGAACTCATAGCAGCCCTTATATAAGACAGAGATGAGTAGAGATTCACAGTATCACACCATTATACAGTATTTTCACCAAACAGATACCACTACATACAAATCACCTCAGAAGCATAGGTAAAATAGTTTACTTACATTTACATAATTTAATTTTTTGATGCTGAGTGTTCTACTGCTATTCTTAAGGTTTACAGTAACTAAATATTCAGAAGTAGCCCATCTCTCCTTGTTAGTCTGACTTCATTTGGAAACTCAGCTGAAACCTGTCCATTGTGGGTGACCCTTGTTGTTGTTGTTGTTGTTATGTGTCGTGGAGTCGATTCAGACTCATAGTGACCCTATACAGGGTTTCTGAGGCTGTAAATCTTTACGGGAGCAGAAAGCCTCATCTTTCTCCCGTGGAACACCTGGTAGTTTTGAACTGCTGACCCTGAGGTTAGCAGCCCGATTCATAACCACTCCTTAAAATGCCCGTGGCATAGCTTCCAGAATCACAGCAACACACAAGGCACCACAGTACGACAAACTGATAGACGAGTGATGTGTAATACAAAAACAGCTGCACCCATACTTTAACAGAGAAGTTCCAAAGGTTCAAATAAGATTCAGAAGAGGATCTGGAATGAGGGATACCATTGCTGTAGTCAGATGGATCTTGGCTGAGAGCAGAAAAATACTGGACAGTTGTGCTCTACTGAGTATGCAAAGGTTTTCTGTTGTATGAATCATGACAAGCTATAGACAACACTGCAAAGAAAGAGTATTCCGGAACACTTAACTGCACTCATAAGGAAACTGCACATAGGCCAAGAGGCAGTTGTTCAAACAAAATAAGGGAACACTGAATGGTTTAAAATTAAGAAAGGTGTGCACCAGGGTTGTGTTCTTTCTCCATACTTATTCAGTTTATATGCAGAGGAAATAATCTGGGAAACTGAATTATATGAAGAAAAATGTGGCATCAGGATTGGAGACTCATTAACAACCTGTGATATGTAGATGATACAACCTTGCTTGCTAAAAGCGAAGAGGACATAAAACACTTAATTGGTGAAGAGCAAAGACCACAGCCTTCGATATGGGTTGCATCTCAATGTAAAGAAAACAAAAACCCTGAATAAACAACATCCATACAAGTGGAAAAAAGATTGAAGCTGTCAAAGACTTCATTTTGCTTGGAATGACTATCAACACTCCTGGAAGCAGCAGTCAATAAATCAGATGGTGTTTTTCATTAGGCAGATCTGCTATGCAAGACCTCTTTGAAGTGTTGAAGAGCAAAGATGTCAGTTTAATGACTAAGGTGCGCCTTACCCAAGCCATGATAGTTTCAATAACCTCATATGCATGAAAATGTTGGACAGTGAATAAGAAAGACCATAGAAGCATTGATGTATTTGAGTTATGGTGTTGGGGGAGAATACTCAAAGAACCCTGGACTGCCAAAAGAACAAACATATCTATGTTGGAAGAAATAGAGTGCTGCTTGGAAGCCAGGATGGCTGGACTTCATCTTTCATACTTTGGACATATTATCAGGATGGATCAGTCCCTGGAGAAAGATACCATGTTTGGTAAAGTGGAAAGTTGGAGAAAAAGAAGAAGGCCTCCAACAAGATGGATTGGCACAGTAGAAGCAGCAGTGTGCTCAGGCATAGCAATTGTGAAGTTGATCCAGTACTAGGCAGTGTTTCATTCTGTTGTGCATAGGTTCACTATGAGTCAGTACTGACTCAATGGCACCTAACACCACCAACAACAATTTAATTTTTAATCATGATTGTGTTTAACAACTGGCTTACAAAGTTACTAAAGATTTCATGGTTGTTACAAATCAGCTAGAACACACCATTGACAAGCAGCCATAAAGTGAATTCATCAATTGTATATCTTTGAATAAAAATGTTTTCAAAGCAGGAGAAACTTTGCAGTTAAGCAGACCTGGACTCAAACCTTTATTGGACTTAAACCCTTACTCAAACCAGTATTGATTTCAGGCAAAATGTTTGATCTTTCTGAACTTTAGTTTCCTTATCAGAAAAAATGGATTCTTTTGAAGATCACTTGATCTAAAGTATGTCACATGTTAGGGGACATGGTAGCTCATCTTTTTCTTAGTCTTATTTGGGGAGGTTAGAGAAACGTGTTATTACTTGTTATTGTACTTGTTTGCTGATTCTCACTTCTCAGGAAGATCTCCAATCCTGCAAGACAAATAAGGTTCTTACCTTTATATTTTCATACTATGTCTAAGCCTCTCTGTTACTTGTGCTATTATAAAATAAGGAGAAATGGGAATCTATTGAATTAGGGTGAGAGAGGGCTGCCATAGATAAAGAAAATAGTATGATCCATTATGATATTAGCCAAGATTAAAGTTGGAAAAATAAAGATTGAAAAAGGGCTTGCTAGCTCTTGTTTTGCTATTTGGGGAATTTTTTTCTTACAGTTTTACGAAAATGTTTCATTTTAAAAGACAAGAGTCATATTTGTCTCTGGAGTTGAATTTTTATGAACATAAAAGCATAATTATTTATTCTGCTGTTTTCCCATAAGCAACAGATATATGCATATATTTTTAAGAAGAACTAAAAAAAAGATAACCAACTTATTTTCACAGCTCGCTCACTTCTTTCTTTCCTAAAAACCAGTTTCGTGTGTTATTGTTGTTATGTGCCATGGAGTCAGTTTCGACTCATAGCAACCTTTTTACAAATGTATTGATTATTTTGGAGAAAACTAGCTCTAATGAAATAAATCTCTTCTGATTTGGCTCAGTGATATGGTATCCCTTCATTTATTCGACGAAAATTATTCTTTTGAAAGTTAAGCTGCTGTAGGGATTTTTTTCCCCTTTTGTTTTAGTAAGGAGCTGAAAAATGAAAAGGAATCATGTCTGCATAATGCATACAAAGTTGGCTCCATATCTAATGTAATAGTTAGGAAACCTGAACTTGCTTATATACTCATGTGTTGTGCTGTTGATTGCTTAGACAGGACAGTGTGTTAGTATACTTGAATCGCTGTTTGCAAGGCTACTGAACTATTTTTGAAAACAAACTTAACAGTCCAGGAAAAAGCTTTAAAAGTAACTGGGTGCCAAAAGGACTTGATTCACGTTCTAGGTAGTTTGATTTGGAGAAAAAAAAAATTAACTTCATCTAATCCTTGGGGCTTTGTAGCAATAAATATTGATTTGATATGATATGAAAAATAACCATCTACCATAGTTAATAGTGCTAAGGACACTGTACCTGTTAAAAGAGGGAAAACACAACACAATATGACCTCCAGGGTTATGTTGGTGAGGAGACCCATTGTATGTTAATAGTTTTATTTCATAAAACATCGTTCTCCATTGATTTTTTTCTCCTTTTTTGTAATGTTGGTGTAAAGTTGCAGAGAAAGCATTTCACCCACATTGCCATTGGCTTTATTTTCACTCCCAAAGCCATTTTTTTTAACACTGAAGAAAAAGTGTTACAGCAATGACTCGTTTTTGGGGGGTGGGTAGGAGGCTTATATTAAAATACTCACACACAGTGGTATCCATTTTTAAAATATACAACTTTCTCCCAACAGTGCCTCAGTACCGAGCCCCATTTTCCGTGGACAGTAATTTGTCTGTGGTGTGTGTCATCTGGAGCGGCACTTACCTCCTGAACGGCCCGCTGAAGGAGTACATGGTGATGGATGGAGGGCAGAGTGTGTACGGTGGCTTAGACACCACCTTTTACGTACAAAGGACGGCGAACAAAAGTTAGTTTCTGTTTCCCTTTGATCCATTTTTAAGGTGCTCTGTTACCCCGCTGTGTTATAGTTAAGTGCTGTCAAGTCGGTTCCAACTCATAGCGACCCTGTATAGGATTTCCAAGGAACGGCTGATGGCTTTGAACCGCCGATCTTACTTATCCTGTAGTGCCACAACAGGACTCATCTGAAAGGTGACTAGAAGGTGCTCGTTAAGAAAATGCCTTGGTTTAAGTAGTCACTTCTTGTGGAAAAGCAAAGACCCTGGTGGCTGCTAACAAAAGATAAGTGGTTCAAACTTACCAGCTCCTGTTAGAGAAAGACATGACTTCTCCTGTAATGATTCACAGCCTCGAAACTATGGGGCAGTTCTACTCTGGCCTGTAGGGTCTCTGAGTAGGAACCGACTCAATGGCACTAGGTTATTGAGGAGAAGCTACTGTACTCACCTCCCATTTGCTGCCTATTGCATTGTTGCCATTAAGATACTGTCCTCCCAAGAATGCTGTTTCCCTGTGATGTGTCACCAGCATGAATAAGCTTGGAAAGGAGGCAGGTTGTGTTCACAAAGACAATCGCATCTGAGTGTATTCAATTAGTATCCTAAGATAATGCAGATTTTCTTGATTTATCCCCCATTCTTCAAGCAGAACCCCATTAGACAATGACCATATCCAACTCTTAACGACCCTGAATATGGGTTTCCTCAGTACCTGTCCCTGACAATCAAATCTCTTTTCCTTCTAAAGCCAAAGTTTCTTCTCCTTGCTTGGTGATTTGAACCAGCTGTCAAGTTTAGTAGACTCCAACTAATGACAACCCATGTGTGTCAGAGCAGAACTGTGTTCCTTAGAGTTTCCGTGACTGATTTCTTTAAAGTAGATCTCCAGATCTTTCTTTGAGGCATATCTGGGTGGACTTGAACCTCCAGTTATTTAGTTAGTAGCACAGTACATTAACTATTTGCACCACCCAGGGAATCCATTGCATTTATACTATTTGAAACTTAATGATAGCATTTTCATGGTCACATTTCTTGGTCACCTGTAACAGTTTATTGTGTTGTAAAGACTAGATTGACTAGAGATCTAGGTTCTTCTTTCAGCCAGGACGCTCAGTATCTGTGAGATTTTGTGAGAGTTGTTTCCCCGGTTCCTGGCATCTAGAGAGGATGTTAGATCATGTCATCTGAAAGATTCTGTTCTTACTGTTGTTGTTAAGTGTTATTGAGTTGGTTCTGACTCATAGTGACCCTGTGTAGGGTTTCTGAGGAGCAGTTGGTGAGTTTGAACCACTGACTTTGTGGTCTAGAGCTTATCCTACAGCATCACACTAGGACTCCTCTGTTCTTACTAGGAAGTAGAAATTCAGTTTTTTAAAGGAATGTGTTTAGACCATAAGCAGAATAAATGTATATATAGACTCCTGGTGTGGTGCTGTAGGATCAGCACTGGACTGTGAACTACAAGGTCGGCGATTCAAACCCACCAGCTGCTCATCAGAAACCCTAAATAGGGTTGGTTAGAACTGATTCAACAGTACCTAGTAGCAACAGCAATATATGTATATAAATATTTATACATACATATGGAGCTCTGGTAGCATAGTGGTTATGAGTTGGGCTGCTAACCTCAAGAACAGCAGTTCAAAACTACCAGTTGTTCCGTGGAAGAAAGCTGAGACTTTCTGCTCCCATAAAGATTTACAGCCTTGGAAACCCTATGCAAGGTCACTATGGGTTGGAACCGACTCTACAACACATAACCAGGACCAACCATGCTCCTGAGGTGATTTGCATCTAGTGTTATCTATTTGGTGGAAATAGTGTAAAATGGTGTGATTCTTTGAATCTCTACTCCACAATACATAACCACTACCACTACCATATACATAGATACATAGTTAATAGATTATAGATATACTGTTGTTGTTAAGTGCTATTGAGTCAGTTCCGACCCATAGCAACCCTTGTCCTAGGAGCACCTGGTAAGCTTGAACTGCTGACCCTGTTTAAACCATCTCTGCATTAACCCAGAGTGCCATGCCAGCTCTCTCTCTCTCTCT